GGGGTGGGTATAAAAACTACCATTATAAACCTGCAAATCCGTTTCATTGAGGTCTTCAGTGAAAGCCTCAGCATCTGGATAGATATTCACTCTAAACATAGCCGATCGATGTACTCACTCACCTCTCTTCTTCGAGAACGCTGAAAGTTTTATCGATTTTATGCCTATATGGCTTGCGAGGAGTGTTCCGTCTAATCCAGTCAAACACGGGATTTGAGTAGTGAATTGTCCTAATTTGCGTACATGAAATTGTCTTAAATAGTTGGTATTTTGCTAGAGTAAAGCAGAAATCTGAAGCCAACAAGAGGCCGCGAAGACTTGTGGCCATTAGTTCCAAAGTGGCGATGCAGTGGATTGAAAAGGATCTAAGACTATAAATACAAATGTTTAGTGAATCATCGAAATCGATTAGTCGCCCGTCATTGTCCTCCTGACATGTTTTTTTAAAAAAGTAACATTGCTGGACACTTGAATAGAAAAAGACGGTTCAAACAGAACCACGGAAAAAGATTTAAAAAAACAGAATCAGTGTTGATGAGATCATCGTTTTTACACACTGCTGTAGTTAAAAACCAAAGTATTTGTGTGAGGTCATTTTTAATTCGCCAATGTCGAATAAACTGAGGATAAATGAGCAGAAACTAAACAACTAGGAGCAAATTATTGGCGAATTTGATTTCCCATCTGCTTAATGCAAAAGCGTCATCCACACCACATGGACCAACGCTGCTTGGACCCACTTCTAGAGTACATGCACGATAAACTTTAGAAAGAAAGGCTATAAGAATGAGAATTCACTTCGGGAAGAGAATGGTATTAATAAAATCAACCTTGTATATGTTCAATCATCAGCTAAGGTCATTGACATACTAGATCGTGGAAATTAGGACAAATAAATGGAGATTTTGCTCAGTATTTAAGAAAATTAGATAATCTAGGAACATAATCGACAGCAATTTAAATGCAATCAAATTTAGTTATTTGGAGTCAAAAGGTTTAAGATTACATGCTGAATATTCCTTTATCTCGAATTGTACTAACTGGAGTTGCCAGTGCGTAGCGGCAATAGTGACAATTAATGTCAAATATTACAGACATATAGTTTCACGGACATGAATTTCATAGATGTATAGGACGAGAAGTAAAAAAAGGAACGAAACACACATTTGGTAATTTCCAGGCACGGAAACAATGAAGCTGACCCGAAATCAATATCACACAAGGCAAACTGCATACACCGCAGCACAAATCTTAGGTTTCAAACAATTTAATGCAAGTTTCCAGTGCTATTTTTGTTAAATATCAGGCAGGAATGGAGAATTTTTATTATGACAGGCTTGAAATATTTTGCACACCATGATTGATTCTCACGATTATCCATTTTAAGTCTTTTAAATATTGGCTTAAATGCATGAAACGAAATTATATTTGGTTGCCAACTAATTTCTCATCTTTTGAAATAAACACTGTATTGGATTATCAGTGCTTTTATTCCTCTAAGTTACGAACTCACCGTAGACTGGACGGATAATAAAACCTGGAAATCTTTAGAAAACCGTCTCCAAATTTTTTCACTAAAATATTTGTGTTCACCCTGAAAATAAAGCAACAAATACACAGGATGACAAATGGGAAATAATGGAGTTTTTACTTTAAATATTGCAAGATGAACTAGATGACTTATCGTACACTTCGGGATAAGACCCATTTGCTCTTACTGTACAGTATAGTGACAGCATATATATAAGGACATTTGTTAAAAAATTTTGTTCACGTCTTGTGTTTCGGAAGCCAATTTAGTACACTAAAGTTTGGAACCTGTTATACCTATGCTGAACCATGGCTGTTAACTGCCACTTACAGAAACCTGCCTTGCCGCTAAATTTTTGTGATTGTACTGGACTTCTATCACCTAAAACGTTTCATCGTGTTTCACCCGAATCGAATCATAAAAAAATAATTTGACCTAACATTGACCCATTAAATATTTTTTTTCGGAAAATCACATTGTGAAATTTTAAGGAGAAAAACACATCAAAATAATAGTAAATATTCATTCATAATTTGTGATTTAATTTGGACTTGAACGAAGCCTGTAAGCAATATATTACGTACTCTAAGTGATTTACAAATGATTAATTTATTTACATGATTTTTCTGTGTACAATTAAATTTTTCATAATGGTCTAATTGCATACACAAGTAAAATCCTTGTTTTTGTCTTAAATAGCAAACGATATCCACCCAACATTGAATCTCATTTTTTTCATATTTCGAAAAAAATTTTTTCTTTTTTTAAATTCCTGAAGTTTTTTAATAATTTCTATAATTCTGCATTAAAGTTCATAATTTGTGTACACTTCCAAACTATACTGATTAAACGATTTTGTAAATCGATTTGTTTCGAAATATGACAGTTTTCATTATTTCACGGTGCAAGATTAGGTCACCAGAAGTAAAGATGTTTTCTGAAAAATCTTTTTCTAACCAGCCCCAAAAGGTGCCAAGCTTGATACACTAAAATTCATGGTAAAATGTATATATTCACATGCTTTAACCTGGTTGCTGCGGTCCGCGACACACTACCTCCCAGGACAGCGATGGAGGGTTATCTGCATTAACACTTCACTGCATATACCTTCCCTACTACCTATTGAACTATTCCGACAATTCAGTTATTTACACGTTATTTAGTTCTCCCACGCTACGAAACAATAACTGCATTCGACATGCACCTTAGAGAGCACATGCACTTACACGACACATCATAGTTAAGCTGTCTAGTAAACGGTCATGCTTGCCGTTCATGATCTTCTACTTGTCTGAGTTGAGTAAACGGACCAAACTTAACACAGTGGTGCAAGATTACATGCAGGGACGCCAAATCTTGTAATTTCTTAAGCCACTTTCGTTACAATTTATTACCTAATATTTGTCCATGTTATAAAGGCGTTCTGAAAAGTGCGCAGGTCTTTGTTTGTGTGCTTAGGGTCAATTTACATCCAGATTTTAATGCAACTTAAGAATGTTTATTAGTGATGATTTCAGTGTCAGGCAATATAGGTCAAATCTACATTTAAGATCCATTGTTTTCATAAACGTATTTTAAACAAAACAATAACCATTATACATAGTTGTGACACGATAATAAATTAAATTACAGATTTCATGAATTTCATTCTTGATTGATTTTTCGTATATTTTAGATTGTAACCGACTCCTAATTTATACACTGCTTTTTCGACAGGGATAAAATTAAGAAGATAAGTTGAAATTAGGTTTTAAGCAGCAACTGTTACATCAAATACCCGTTTATGATTTTATCATGGACCTGAGCTTGTTTGTCTAGACCACATGCACATGGTAATACGTTCACCAGGGGCGACGTTCTCCTTTTAAAGTATAAGTGGTGGCTGTGCATTCTTGGTGCTTTCGTAATTTCTGAATAATTACCTCAATTAAACATAATTAACATTGGAGTTTATCTCTCTATGACATGACAGAGGCTAGCATCGTATCACGGGATTCTACACATCATATTCTTGCCAATGGCTCAAATTTTAGCTCTATGAGACCCAATTTTCGCAGCTCATTTCCTGCGTCAAATGGAACATCAGGGCTTTCGTCACTTGCGCAGAGATTTCGAGAAAATTGGCTTAAATGCAATCCACCATTTCGCGATACTGATGACTCCTTAACGAATCTTACTTGGTTGTTCGTAAGTTTCCGTCATTTATCAGTATCTTTAGGATATGAGCCCCTTTTCCCTCGAATCTGACGGTTTAGGAACAAACAAAAACAACAGGTTTATAGCTGATCGCCCTGCAGGTTCGACATTTTGCTGATTATATTTGTTAAGTTTTTCCAAGTGCCAAAATATCTTGGCAGCCCACTCACCCCTATGCTGGTAGCTTGCTCGATCCCCAAGTTCGAATGGATTATAGAACAAAGTGGACTGGGAAACCTCCGTTTTCATATGCATCATTAATTTGCCTTGCCATGAGAGAACTAGGAAAGCCGAAAGTAACACTATCAGATATTTATGGATGGATCATGACTAATTTCGCCTATTACCGCCACACGGATTCCAGCTGGCAGGTGCGTTCGAATTTTCAAAACTTTATTGTGGATATTTAAATCTGGTATTCTCAGCATTTCCAGTCTTTCGACTAATTTCTTTGTTGATTAGTTTATAACGTTTGGTGAATGGTATTTTAATCGTTGCCTTTTCACTTGTTTTTGTACAATCTCTTGTACGATCACTAGTTTCCATTAAATGAGCGCGATTCTTTTTGAAGATGAAAAGCAAAATAAGTAAATAAATGGCATTAACCTCAAAATTGGGATAAGCGTTTAATTGAATGTTGATATTTCTAATCTAAAATTCTCTACTTCGTTTCATTTATAAATCAGAAGTGCTTTTTTTATTTGGTCCCTTTTCCATCATTAAAACTTCCCGCATTTTGCGTGTCCAGGAAACGTTTAACTTACTTTCTAGCCCCTGATTTCTTCTTAGATTTAGCACTATTGCTAACTATTACTTTGGCAGAATTTTTTCGTTCCTTAGCTCACCGGTCATCTGTTATTGGTGCACGCCTGACTAGGTTTTGTTCGATTCTCTCAATGCCTTTGCTGGATTTGTGGTAGATTTTATTATTTAATGATTGTAAATTGAAAAAAAAATGTGATTTCATAACTCACGAGGTCAATGGTTTATCATAAGTGAACTTATTTATCGTAGGTCTAAATCAGTCAAAGGCTTCTGCGTTAAATTACCAGCCCCAAATATTGTTTATAAAATTGTCCATGACTTAAAACTACAAATAATTTATATCAGTTAACAAAATCTCTATAAGCAGAATAGACTTGATGAAGTCTAACAACCCGCACTGGTTTGTCACAACTTTCTTTTCCCATGTTATCTATAAATCGGCAAAATACCCTGAACAACCTACCATCTGGTTTGAGGAACTTGTACCAGCACAGTGTATGGCTCCAGACGCGTTGAATGCTTGAATTCGTGGCGAGATTCTTCGCTAGATATTTTCTTGAACCCGGTTACAAAAGCCTCTTGATGCAAAGGTTTCCCTCTGTGATCGGAGATTAATATCTTTGAATACCACGTCGAATCCAGTATTTTTTTACAAATGAATCATATGTCACAACTTAATGCTGGCCAAATGCTCAATTTACTGTCTTCTTTAATGCTAAATATAGGTTGTGTGTGCTGAAAGTGCTTTGCTTAAAGTGCAAAGTAAAGGAAACATCGAGCAGGATTTTAGCAAGTTCCGTGTTCCTCACTACCTGTCACATCTTATCAGCAGGAAATGTTTTGTTAGTCTTCGAATCCTTTAGAGTGCCGTAAATCACGATTGCAGTTGTTGGTGTCGAGCGAACGCAGTAAAATAAGCCAACAATATACCGTACTAGCTGTGTTACTGGCTACTCCTTCCTCGGTAGGTGTGTGATATCTTATATTACCACAGTTGGATGTGATTCAAATGACTCGCAAATTACGTTTTTACACGAAATCAGACAAAACGCCAAGAGGTGCTACGGCGATCCATCTTTGATTGTTCATTCCAAAGTTAAATCTCTTCGTGAAATCGATGTTTTGGTTGTTGACTGGTGGTTGTTAAATTCAAGTTCAGGAAGTATCAAAAATCCAAGTTTTGCGCCTATTTTGGAACTCTCAAGCCGTCACTTTCACCAACGAGTAATGGTTGCGATTTGTCTTTTACTAATCTAAATATTATGTCAAAATCTTTTCAATTAACAATAGAGAACACTCCGACCACGTTACCATGCGACCACAAAGCTTATTGCCTTCATCTATTTGGTAGAGATTCAATTGTTTGCTTAATTCGAGATCAACTCTCGCATCATGATCTTGTAGAACTCCGTGAGGCACAATCTTTCACTAAACAAGTGCTTCGAGAAGGTTCCACGCGAGAAGGGCGAGCGTGGCAAGGGGGGCTTCTGGCGCGTCAATCCCCGTCACGCGGATTGGTTGGAGGCGAATTTGGCCAAGTGTCGGAGGGCCGCCCCGCCCCCAGGTCCACCGCCTCCGATACCGCGTTCCCTTCTCCTCGAGAAACAGCAGGAGCAACAGCACACCGACGGTTTCTACTTCACCTTTCCACAGCAGCAGCAACAGCAACCGCCACCACCGCAGAACGCCCCAACTCTCATCTGTTACCAGTCGGTTGCCATGCCGCCGGACGTCTCAAACGAGGTGGAGGCGGTGACTGTGAAGGAGGCGCCTGACCCGGCTCATCAACAGCCGCCAGCTCCACCGCCACAACCACCACCGCAGCCACACGTCCGAAGACGGAAAACGCCACCCTGCTCGATGTACCCGACTGCCGAGAAGGCGGAGGGGGAACCGGACTTGGTAGAGGTCATTCGGAGACCGCCACAGTACCCAGCCTTCACTAACAGAAAGAGGTTGGCATTGGGCGCGTCGGCTTCGAGAAATCGACCTCCCTACGGCACGTTGACAGCCCCCGCGTGGTCACAGCCTGTTGGGTTCAAACGGGAGCCTGGAAGGTCAAACTGCAATGATGGATATTACGACTCGAAGTCGTGGAAAGCGGAGGATGGTTGCGGAAGAGCTTCCCACTTTCAGGTGAATGGTTGTGACACTTTTTTGGTGTTTTCAAGGTTTTTCGGTCTTTCGGTTACTACCCATCGAAATTTCTCGTCTCAACTGACATCCTGGCTGTGTGTTAGGCCAAAGTGTTGCTTAGCAGGCCGCGTTTTGGTCGACACAAACTCATGTATCAACTGTTACTGCTTTCAATTTTAGTCGTCTTCCTTTGCAATTCGAAGACGCCGAACTCGTGAACTGATGGACACCACAGACCCTTTTTATGTGCCTCCTAGGCGACCACAATTTCCACAGTCTTCTGACGCCACCTACGAATACAAACCCACGACCAGCATTTCGTCTGCTTACCCCTACACTTCTACCTCTGACGATTCCACCTCTTGCAAGCGTCGAGTTGAGACACAGGTGAGGCATGATCTGCCCGAAGAACAGACGCTTCTTTTGCCAGATCACCTCAACCTATCCTGTTTGGACTCGCTCTCCAACATCACCGCAGAGCCGACTAGCATGGAAACGAACAGCGCTGTTATGAGTTCGTGGAAAGAGGACTTTCTCGATTTCCCTGGCGTCTTGCCCTGGCAAACAGTCTCGTCGTCTGTGGACGAGAGCAGTAACCTCACCGTGGAATGCAACACACCTGATTTGGAGCCCACGGGTCGCGCAATCCAGTCTTCGACGTCGTCCAGTCCAAGTCCTCTGGCGTCGTTCGCTTCATTTGGTCAGTCGACGGCCAGTTCGGCGTCTTCGAACGCCGATTCGGGTGTCGCGTCGCTGGTCAACCCCTCCGACGGCCTGGACTTGGGTCCGCTAGATCTCGATTTCGACACCGTCTCGTCGGCCCTCAACGATCTTGTCGAGTCCAACGGATGCTCAATTCCACCTATCGACGTCGACTTCGGCGACCTGGGTGATTCCATTCACAAGTCTCTCGCCGCCACACCGCTGACCAATTCGACGTCTTCATTCAGCCAACACTCTGGTGACGGCTATGCCGATTCTGCCTGGAACTATGGCGTGGGTGGCACCGCTGGCGGCGGATTCTACGAGAACGGCTTGAGCCTGACGTAGCCACGGGTGCTTTATTCTACACACTTCCTGCTTATTCTACTTTGTTGGTTGATTTACGCGTCCACCCAACGTGCGAAACTGACTTTGTCGTTTTTATAACTTTATAGTTGTGATGGTCATTTCACCGATCCCGGTTTGTGCACCCCAGACACTTTTGAGCACTCCCTAACCCCCTCCCCCCTGCGTCCCCCCTTCTCCCACAACCTCCCCAACCCCCC